CAATGTTCTGAACTAATGTTATTTATAATTGTTATAAATTAAACAGCCCCATTACAAAAAGAAGAATGGGCTATATAGTTTACTTATTAAATATAAATGTATGTTTGTTGCATTTTATCTTACACCATTCGTAATCTCAATGGTTCCACTCCTAGTTACACAGAAATGAAGCAGGCCTGAAACTAATTGCTTTTGTAAAGATGTGCATATAAAACAGACATATTCCTATCCATTTACAGATATTCCCATTTGAATTCATAGTGCACACACTTACAAGATTGCTGAATATTTCTTTCGGTTCCACCGTCAATGGCATTAAAATGTCCATTAATGTAAATGAACCTATTACTCAACAGAACATCTTATGCTAAGTTAGTGTGCTATGTCAGGGTTGTGTGAAGTTACAATTAATGAATATAGCTTGAGCATCCAAAACTAATAAAGTTTTTATAATTAAGTTACTATGTAATTATTTGCTGCCTATAATTATTCATAAAACATCTAATGGGCCAATGGAAAATAAATGTGTGGAATAAATACATTGCTTATGGGCAGGCTTCGACTTGAGCTCTGCAAAGTACCATCATTAAATGCAACTAGGCAAGTGCTTTTGTGCAAGATTCACACAGAGAGCACTGCAGTTAAAACCTGGAAATATTTACAAAACATATGTTTAACCATACTGTAACAAACACCAATAAATCAGATATTTTAATGCATCTGGGTGTTCTGCAATATAATTGAGCTAATACTTACACCTACTATGCTGATGTCAATCATCTTTAAAACTAAGTAGTTTGAAGGAAAAGGTCGTATTCTAAGAGCAAACATAAATGCATGCTTTGGGGATGTTTTCCATGTCTAAAGAACACAGCTGACATTTGCACTGGCAGTGTTAATTTTGAAGAGAATCTACCTCGCAAATGTAAACAGTGCATAACATTTTATATTTTGCTACATAACTCCTCTCAGCTAAAAGCTGTTAAGTGCTTTAGATTGGTGACCTGTTATGTGCTGGAGAGCACTGAAGAAATGTGTTATTCACATTATTTTGTAGGGAGTAAAGGAGGGAACTAACATTCTAAAGTAATACTTAAATCTGGAAAAAAATCTTCATGGTTATCAAGCCAGATATGATAGACAAGCTTAAATAGTAAGATCACTTATGACCAACACAATAGTCATCTAGACACACAAAGAAGGGAATGGGCTAGCTCTGCTCATGCAGTTCTCAGTTCTATTACTCTCATGTGAAGAGCAATGCATCTGAATAGATGAATGAATAGAAGGCTTTTTCCTAACATAGCTACTTTTCTCATGGCTGCCAACAAGAACAATAAAAAGGTCTTCAAATGTATGGAGAGCATCCATGCATTGGGAAAGCCCTCCCATTCATGATCATCCCTTTCTGAGCGAGGAAAGGAAAACTGAAGACAGAGGAGTATATTCTCAAAGGAACATTAGTATATTCCTTTCTTTTTGTTTTGATACAGAATGTGACTATATAACAACTGTATAAGACTTTTATTTCAGACTATCCTTCCACTCTACAGTTACAGTAGTTTGATGCCATTTTAATTCCCATAGCTTTTTTCCTGGGCACAACTATGCTGTAGAATTAATGCATTCTGACATCACTTTAACTGCCATGGCTCAGTGCTATGGAATCACGAGAGCTGTAGTTTTACAAGGTCTTAAGCCTTCTCTGCTAAAGAATGCAGGTACCTCACTTACTTACTTAGGCGATCCCTCATTGTCCAAGTAAGATAGTCTTCCAAGATCAGTGTGATGGTGGGTCCGCAGGTGACTGTGGAGCCCTGTTCTTGATCTGCACCTTCTCCCACAGCTAAGGCATTGGTTTCCAGGTGGAAAGCGGTCTCGGTCGGGGTTGGCTTGATGTGCCTTCCTCTTGGCATGTTTCTCTCTTTCTCCCTCCACTCGTGCCTCTTCAAATTCTACAGCACTGCTGCTCACAGCTGACCTCCAGCTGGAGTGCTCAAGGGCCAGGGCTTCCTAGTTCTCAGTGTCTATGCCAGAGTTTTTAAGGTCGGCTTTGAACCCATCTTTAAATCTCTTTTCCTGTCCACCAACATTCCGTTTTCTGTTCTTGAGTTTGGAGTAGAGCAACTGCTTTGAGAGACAGTGGTTGGGCATCCGGACAACATGGCTGGTCCAGCAGAGTTGATGGCGGAGGACCATCGCTTCAATGCTGGTGGTCTTTGCTTCTTCCAGCATGCTGCCATTCATCCGTTTGTCTTCCCAAGAGATTTGCAGGATTTTCCAGAGGCAGCGCTGATGGAATTGTTCCAGGAGTTGCATGTAACGTCTGTAGAAAGTCCACGTCTCGCAGGCATATAGCACGGTTGGGAGGACAATAGCTTTATAAACAAGCACCTTGGTATCCCTACAGATATCCCAGTCCTCAAACACTCTCTGCTTCATTCGGAAAAATGTTGCACTTGCAGAGCTCAGGCTCACTAAACCACAAATGATTCCATAGCATTGAGCAATGGCACATACAATGGTGTCAAACTGCATTAATTCTACAGTGTAGATGTACACCGGTTGTATTTGGAATTTGTTAAGAGAGCTCTTGGGCTCAGTTCAGGGCACCACAGGACTCTAGCAAAGGATACCAAGCATCTAATGAAGATTTCACAGAATGGACTAATGATTGTCAAGGTGTGTCAGCCTGCTGCAATAATATTGCACAGACTCAGTTTTTATATCAATGGTTCCCAAACTTTGAGCCTCCAAGTTTTTTCAGTTTCCACAATTCCTAACACCTGGTAAGCTGGCTGGGATTTATGGGAGTTGAAGTCCAAAACACCTGAAGGCCCAACCACTGCTCTATATCATACATTGATAGGAAAGATGCCGTTCCTATCTTAGGTTCAAGAGAGTTGTGCTAATGTACACCAGCAGCTAAGAGTCTAGTCTTTATTGGCAAGTCAAAGTAGACCTTGTACACTAATGAAAATCTGATCTCACAAGTTTGCTTTGTTCATGGTTTAAACTAGCAATGTATTTTAATAGCACTATGCTTGCTTTATACCCCACCCCCCTTCTTCTTGGCACTAGTTTTATGAAGCTCTTCAGTTCCCATCCTTGTCTTCTCTTGATGTGTTGCACTCAGAATAGCACCCATCACAGCAAATCACAGCATACTCCTTTCAAACACCCCTTTGACAGTAAAACCCTACAGGGTCCACATTTTTATATGCTCTTGTGCACAGAGACACAGAAGAGCACATAACTAAAAATAGCTTGCCAAATACTTCAACGAAGCACTCTCCTGGTATGAGAGATTTTTAATCAGGTTGTTAAAGTCTCAGGATATCTGACAGTGTGTTGAATTATTGTTTGACAGAAAGAAAGCTAATAAATAGAAGTGGAAACTGGAATATAGGAGATTGACAACTTACTAAAGTTTTCTATTGGCCTATAAATAATGATAGTTTTAAAATTGTGTTTTGATTATTGTTCTCCTCTCTGCAATATGTCCAAGCAGGACTAATCCCTACTTATGATTTTTCCCTATTTTATGTAAGCATATGTTATTATGGTTTCTCATTAAAATGGGATCATAAAGTTCTCCAAGACTTTTTTCATAGTCTGCCAGCCTGTTCTGAAAAATGACTGCAGGAGCCCCAATACACTGTTTATCATGTTAATTGTAATATACAGCATCTCTGAAAATTATCATTACAATTTCAATTCTATATACAATTAATAATTTTATTATTGTTATTAAATAATCTTTATTAGATTTTTTCATTAAAATAATTAAAAGCAAGAAATGGTGTGTGTATGTGTATATATATGTATGTGTGTGTGTGTGTATATATATATACACACACACACAGAGAGAGAGAGAGAGAGAGATAAAAGAAAAAGCAAAAAAAAGGCAAGAAAAGAAAGAAAGAAAGAAAGAAAGAAAGAAAGAAAGAAAGAAAGAAAGAAAGAAAGAGGTTTCTTGACTTCTGGGTATCTTCTTTGAGGTTTATGCCTTTTCCTTCATTTCCTCTTACTCTTAGATATTTTTCAAACACTCTGTACTTGCCCTTCTATTTATTGACGAAAGTACTACATAAACAACAAAATGTTTTTTTAAAAAAAACACTCCTCCCCCTTATGCCCACACATGTCACCTTTTCTTCTTGCTTGTCAGATGTTCTGAAATTGTCTATCAGCATCTACCGTCTTTAAACTCAGAAAAACAAGCCAAAGGATGTGTCAATAGTCTTAACTATGATATAAAAGTGGTGCTCTTTGAGTGTTAAATTTATGTGGGGAAAACAAGCAAAGAAGCAATTTCAAAAGTCAACATTTTAAATTAAATGTTGAATTGACATCCGAAATACTAAGAAAAGAGAGTGAAATAACTCAACAAGAATAACATATAAATTCTACAAATTGCAAATTGAACAATATAGACAAAATTGAAAAGGTTATAATAAATAAGAGGATGTAGGAACCAGTTAGGGATCATTTAGAGAATGTGTTGAGATGCGGAGTGGAAAAAATTAAGATTGAGATTGGTATTTCAAATGTAACTTCTGTAGTTTGCAGTATAAATTGTATGTACAAGGAGGGGAGGGAATGGAAACAATAAAACAACGATAAAAATAACATCCATTCTGAGATAAGTATTTTGCAAAAAGCCTAATTGTTGCAAAAGTCAAATTACTGGGTTCTTGTTGTAAAAAAAAAACACCCCTCTTTATCCTCAGATAAGAATACACAAACTGCCGCTTCTGCTCAGCTTTCTTCACCATTAAGCACTCGTGCACTATTTGGTTGTTTCCCATTATCCGATTCGTGGGTTATGACAAAAATTTGGATAGAATTCATTGCCCTTCAACAAAAAACATTTGGGTTCCGGAATACAAGCCAGTTTTATTATCATTCAAAATTCAGCTTTCACATATGTCCCTTGATTCTACATGCCCCTTTCTCCATGCAGATTGAATGGTAAAATAACACACATTATGACTTACCCATAATGTGTATGATCCCCTACGACTCCCCGGGAAAGTCAGCATGCTCTGATCTGAAAGAGTAACGGACGTTGGGCCACTGCTGCTTCTGGACTGTGGCCAGTCAGTTCCAGCCTCCACTTGCTCAGTTTTGTTCTTCTGCTTTCTTATAATCTGCAGCAAATTGAAAAGGGAAAAAAAGATTGTTGTAAGTCATTACCTCTGGAGCCATACCAGTCTGACTTGGAGTCCTCAGGATGGGAAACTGAACCATTAGTATTGCCTGTCACTTCTATTCTAGCTTCTAAAAGCTTTGACAGCCCGCTTATATTTCTCTCATTATCTGGATCTGCTATACGTAATGAAGAGCCTCAGGAGAAAAAGATATGCTTCTTTTTGCATCTCATCCTCAAAAATTAACTAAATGGGCAACGAGGCTTATATGAAACATAGGAAAAGAGTTAAAATTTTAGCTATTTGGGGTATGCTATGATTGCACAGCCTTATTCAGAAAAATGGTGGAAATATTTTATGAAAGTAATAAAGAAGCTACAATTTCTTTTGTGAATTAAATATAACAAGGTAAATACAGCCAGCATGATGGAGTGGGTTTGAGTGCTGGATTATGACTCTAGAGAAGAGGGTTCAAATTGCCATTTGGACATTGAAACTCACTGGTGACTTTGGGCAAATCATGCTCTCTCAGCCACAGAAGAAGGCACACACAACCTCCCTCTGAACAAATCTTGCCAAAGAAACTCTGTGATGGGTTCATCTTAGGGTTGGAAAAACTGGTCACAAGCTGAAGGCACACAACAACAAAGCAGCAGTTCTGGAAGAATCCAAACAGTTGAGTAATTTTGTCTGGTACTAGACCATCTGTCCAATCACACATGGTAAATTGTCTTCATGCTCTTCAATTATTCTCGCATGCTATGATAGAGAGATTTCACCTTTGAATACTTTACTTTACATCTCTGTTAATAGTATGAGGAAGACAGAGGGCTCCGCCCTTGAAGAAAAGAAAGCACACTTGCTTAATCCAACAGAATTAAGGGAGTATCAGAAGAGATACAAGCCTTGGCTCAAGACATCTTGATGAACATTAGCTGAGTAATTGTAAGGGTATATGTGAAGTGTAGGGCTGCAGGAAGATAAAAAAGAAGGGCAGGAGGAAAACCCTTGAACTTTTCTGTGAAGGCATGACAATAAAAGGACTATTGTGAGTACCTTGTCTGCCTGCTTTTGCTTGAAGACTGTTATCCTGTGTTTACCTTACCCACATGCATGCCAAAGCTTCTGCTATACCTCTTCCAAGGGCAGAGGAAAATACACCAACAATCTCCCTTAGGGAATGTATCAACTAAATAATAATAATAATAATAATAATAATAATAATAATAATAATAACCAAAATAATGCCTGCTGAAGCCCAAGTGCATGTCACTTTACAGTGATGAACCTGCAGTGGTTCCCATAAACAGCCAAAAATTATATGATGAGATTTGAAAACAGAGGTGGAAATATCTTTATGAACCTCGTCCCTCATCTAGGGAAAGAGTTACAGCAGCAGCAGTATGCTGGCTGGCAGGCAAAAATCCATGGGAGTTGTTGTCTAAAACATATGGAGTGCAGAAGGGTTGCCTTCCTCTGATGACATTTGATTTCTTCTTCTTACCGATACTGCTGTTGTTCACAGCTAACGGTACCGGGATATAAATCAATCTTCCCCCTATTGTTCATGGGTACCCAATTTCTGTAGCCAGATTCAGTGATTTTCCCCTGTCTACTGTATCTCCAAATCTCATTTTACCTATCTTTGCTCTGTAAGCTGGTGCTGCCCAGCAATGCTAAGAGATTATGGGAATTAGATTCTTATGCAGCAACTTTTATATAAGAAAGAATATTAGGGAATTTATCTTGTTTGTCCTCCAAGTAACAAAATAAGTTCAAAATAGTTTCCAAAGACAATTTCATTAGAGGAGACAGTGACAGAAAGACTTGGGATTACTACAAAATTATTTATCTTTGGGCTTTTGCAACTTCAGGTCAGGTATATTACAGAGGAAGCAAAGTCAATTTTTCATGATGTCACAAAGCTGGCATTGTGGAACAACCAAGAGAATAAGCTGAGGACTGAGAATTCCCACCCTTATCAAAGGTGGCCAAAAGCAACTCTTGTCTCTCAGTCTAGGAAGACAGTACCTTTCACTGGCAACCATACATCAAAATGAAGGGATTGGTTTACAGATCACTGAGAAACCATATGCCAAGTTCTACACAAATACCAATTATTGTTAAAATGTTTCTATGCATTATCATTCCAAGCAGTAAATTCATCCAGAAGGGAAGCTCTTGAGTCATACCTTCTGGACGATGGTGGTAGCAAGTTCTTCAATGAGCTCTTCCTTATGGTCTCGCAAGTAACGAGCTTCATTTTGTTTGTCCTGTAGAAAAAGGTTGAACAGATGAGCATTCGCACACTTATTTGTGTACAGTTAAAACATCTTAATATTCACTATATAAAATAAAATTTCACAAGTGCCAACTGCTGCTGACAAAGCCATACTTGATAGACCATATCTTGCACACACAAAAAAAGTAACTCTTTTGGTCTATAACTCACAGAATCTCTTAGCTAACCAAGACAATGGCCACACTCACCAAGGGATTCTGGGAGCTGTGGTCAAATGCAATGTTTCCACGCTTTAATCTGAATTCCTTGCAACATGTCTAGAAACTTGGACATGTCCAAGGCCCAAGGCTTAGCATGTCCTGCTGGCTATGCTGATGATGTTGAAGGGTAGATGAGGCAGAGTTTTGCCAGTACAAAACACAGTAATTTCTGAATTTTTGCAGTCAATAATTTGTACTGTGATAATGAGGATACATTACTGGCCTTTTAAATAATGCAATGAAATAATCAGTGATGGATAAGGTCAGAATATTCTCCTGCTGCAGTGTTACCACTAATTAGCAAGGCATAGTTAAAAAAAACAGGAGGAGAATTTCATCCAAAATCATGAACTGGATAGCATGGTTAAGCCTGTCCAGTAGAGCTCAGGCCATGAAAAGAAGAGAGGAAGCATAAACCCCACTTGACAGAATAATTAAATGGAAAGTAGAAAAAGACAAAGGAATTATCAGGTTATTGTACAAGGCACCTTATCCTACAACACAAAAACAACCCTTATAGAGAATTGGAAATAGGAAAAAAAAAACTTCAGCGAGAAATTAACTAGGTCTTGAATTGACAACATTCATAAAATTAAACATATGAGGAACAAAGAAACCTAAAAGGAAAAAAATATCTAAATGGTATAGAATCCCTCTTCAATTACCTTACATAATGAGAAATATTTCAAACAACTGTTTGCATAATTGTGGGGGGATAGGTTCATTCTCCCACATGTTGTGGGCTTGCAGAAAAATTCAGAACTATTATCGCACTCTGCACTTGCCCTATAAGCCTTATATACCACCTGTCACATCAGCACTTTTAATCCTGTACCCATTACTCTGGCCCGGCCCAGTTCTATTGTGTCTTAGTGTATTGTTTATTGCTTGTTGTGTATATTGCTTTAATTGTTTTTAATTTGCCTTATGTTTTGTATTGTTATATTGTGTGTTGAGGCCTTGGCCTTTGTAAGCCGCATTGAGTCCTTTGGGAGATGCTAGCAGGGTACAAATAAAGAATAATAATAATAATAATAATAATAATAATAATAATAATAATATAGGAAAAAAGGAAATGTAATTGAATAAATAATAGGGAAATAATTAAAGTGAGATAAAGCCAGATTCATATCTTTTACTATAGAGGAACAGGAAAATAACAATAATTGGACAGAAATCCTAAAATATATGACAGCCGCAATACAGGCTATGATAGCCCGAAGATGGAGAGATAATACAAGATGGGATTTAGAAACTTGGTGAACGTATCTATCAGAATATATAATCAATCATTTCATTAATCAAAGGAAAAACAAGTATATAAATAATCATACAAAACAAGACTGGTACAGGAAATGATCTATTCTAATTGACAAAATAGACTGAGATGATAGATACAGCATTTTGAACCAGGCTTTCCACACGCTTAAACTCATGCAATGACGTCATTTAGAATTGCTGTTCCAGGAGGGAGGGGGGAATGGTGGGAGGGTATGCGTAATGGATGATACACATCTAAGGAATATATAAAATGTTATATAAGGCAAATTTACTTTTGGAATAATGTATGCCGAGATAAGACTTGTATGGCAAAAGCTTTGTTAATTGATGGAATGTATCAACTAAATAATAATAATAATAATAATAATAATAATAATAATAATAATAATAGACCAAAATAATGAATATAATCAAAATATTTTTACCAAACTGTTGTTACTGAACATCTCTGCCTTAGAGATAGCTTCTTCTATTGCTTCTTCTGCAACGCGTAAAGCCACGGCAAGGGTATCCATCATGCTGTGTCCTAAGGAAAGGATGTAAGAAAGTCTGTGCAACATTGTGAAAAGGAGGTCTTTGAGATGAATGGGAGAAAATTTGCTCCATTCATCACTCCCCATCAGCTAATATGCAGTAAACATAATTTTCTTTTAGGAGAAATAGGCCCATTTGATTCTACTCCCATTTTATTCCCATAGCAATAATGAAAGGTTAAATGGAGAAACCTCTCTAATACACTTCACACTTGTGTGGGGAAGATATACTGAGATGATTCTATGTGTGGATTGCCTTTATGTAGATTTATTGTAGTTGTGATCTGCTTTCCAAAGAGACAAGTAGCATATAAATATTTATGGATATTCCAATAATCCATCCATAAATAAATAACAGTATATCTAAAGGAACTTTTCATAAGAATTTTGTGGTTATTCTGGGAGCAATTTTTGTTGTTAATGAACAATTACATACATACTCTGAGAAGCAGGCTGGCGGTGCAAGCTTACAAATCTAGTTAGCTGACCAGCTCAACCAATGAGAAAAACCCATTCAAGGAAATGAGAAATAAACTGTGAGTGAACAGTACACCTTCAAGCTAGTTTGTAAGACAGAAAGAAATAGCAGGACACAGCCAAGCCTCCACCTAACTGTTAAACTCCCTGAACAATTTGCTGAAGAGGATATAGCAGCATTACAAATACAGGCCACACCTATTTTTCTAAAAAAACGTTCCATTGCTGCATGCCTGCCATTCCAATGTAAGTAAATTGCCTGGTGGTTAAGGGGAAAATGGGTCCAGTTTATTAAAACATTCCTATCGGTTTGCCTGAAGACAGATCTACTTACAAACAGGCCAGCAGAAGGGGCTATTTATAAACCTGGAATATAAGCCAATGTTTTATTATGGAAGTACCAATATATGGTCAGCCCTCTACATTTGTGGGCTTTAGGGGTGCATACACACACGTGTGAAAGTGAAAAACCATGAATACAATGGTGATGGGGTAGGCAATCTACGAACAATCTTTGTCCTCAAGTGGTGACCAGGATATGAGTCATCTTCCACCATGGCATTGCCTCCCAAAGACAGGGACACCCAGTGAGCATTCCCAAGGCAGAAGTTAAATAACGGGCGGGGATTAGTCATCACCCCCATGCTGTCACCTTCTAAGGACAGAGACACAAGTAACCTTCTTAAGAAGGTGACCTGATGGACATTTCCAAGGCAAGCAGTGGCAGCACCAACTCTGAGAAGCAGCCAGGTGGTGCAAGCTCACAGATAATCAAAACTGTGAATGTTAAACCCCAGGGCTGACTGTATTAATACTTGGGAAATGCTTGTAGTACAGTACTCAGAACATCCCAACTCGTATGGACTCATCATGTCAACTATGATATCCTGGGTGCTGTGGTAAACAAAAAGTAACTTTTCCCAATTCTGTACTAATATAAAAAACACTTCCAATTTCTTACAATAAACACTAATGGTATAGGGGGGGGGGGTCAGTTTTAAAGTACAGGCAGTCCCCGAGTTACAAACATCCAACAAATGGCTCCTAGTTAAGAATGGGAGTGAGATAATAGGATCTGAGAAGAATCTAATACTAGGAAGAGAAATGTATTGCTGAAAGAGTTATAATGGGAAAAGGTGTCTCCACTGAAGCTGTCTTGCCAGTCCTTGTTTCCACAACAAGCCATTTTTTTTCAATTATCACAGGGAAAGTGAGGTGAAATCCTTTGAACAGGGGCAGAGACAGCAAAACAAACATCACAGGGGTGTTAACTCTTCCCTATGCTATCCAAAGCCAAAGAAAAGGGCTGAAGTTACACTTACAAAATGTGCCTGTTCTGATTTAAATACAAATTCAACTTAAGAACCAACTTGTGGACTGCCTGTACAAGCCCTCATTCTGATAATTAATATAGCAATATCCCAAACAGAGCACTCAGTCTATCTAGCACATGTGTGGATCTTTTTCGAGCTCTCTCTCATTTCTCATCTCTATCTGAAACATATCATTTGTAAAGCTAATGAATCTTGCTGACCAAGACAGCTATTTCTTTCCCTTACAACTATTGTGAGTGCTGCAGCTAAACTTAAAGAGACAGGAGAGTCCATGGGTGATAGTGGCAGGAAATATTATAGTCCCTTCTAATAGCAAGATCCTAGAGCTTTGATTCTATGAGTTCTAACTCCACTACATCAATGGTAAACATAACAGCATTTATAACAATTACCTTCTGACTGTCTGTAGAAAGTAGAGTCACTGCCACATATGCTTCCCTCATTTTCTATGGTTCCTTCACATATGCTTCCTACTTCTGCATAAAAAAAGATCATTGTTGTTATCGTTGCTCTTGAATATCTTATTGCGTACTAGGGCAAATATGTTCTCTCTAGAATATGTCAGTAAATTTCAAAACAGGTGGCAGTGGAATATCCTTAACATAGAGATATTTGCCTGAAAATTCATTTTAGGATGTTTTTCTTCAGCATGTTTCTCTTTCACATAAGAAAGTTTCTCACTCTGTGGACTAATTGCTGAAATGATAGAGAGGACACAATAAGCAAATATGAAATTGCTTTGAATCTGACATTTGGACTTGAGAGAGGTCCTGGATTTTAAAGGACATCATTTCACAAATTGATAATGTTTGATCTTGTAACAAATGGAACAAGAGAAATGTCTTATAGTCAAACTGGCAAGATGAAAGGAAGAAAGAGGTGCTATAGGAGGAGGAGGAAGAGGGGAAGGGGGTGGAAGAGGTGATATCTAAAGCCAAAGCATGTTTGAACCGATAACTAGCATGTTCTAGCCTTTGTATTTAATGGGAAATTGAAAGAAGTACATTAAGCTACCAATCTTTTATTCCTTTACTCAGTGGCTTGGCTAAAGGATGGCTTTAGAGCGTTGAAAAAAATACATCAGCGAAAAAGTTGGCAGAGAACTCTCCATTGTTTTATCTTTACCTAGTAAATCAGAATAAGCTCCAGTCTCCAACCGATGTTTTCTATACAAGTTCTTCAGGACTTTGGCACTTCCAAAACGCTTGAAACGACTTTTCACATTATTGTAATACCATTCCAGGGATTGAGCCCTTAAGAGCCTGGAGGGAAAAACAAAGGAAGGAAGGAAGGTTTCAGAGAGGGCAAAAATATTATAGTGTGTCAACATAATTCAGATTTCCTACTTTATTTTAGGAAGAATGAGCTGGTGGGGGAAATAGTGAAAAAGTTACAATCTTTTAATTATAATTGGGCCTTGTGTAGCACCCTGTAATCTGTTTGCTTTTCTGAAATGTTTCCAATGGATCTCATTTTGCAGCCGTAATAGAGAGCATAATCTGTTTAAGTATGGTTTTGCAAATAATTATGTCCATGTCACAAGTATTTACAACTGTTACTGCTTCTTTCTGTTTTATTCTGCAGTGTTCAGGACAATATTTGTTTGTTTTTTTAATAAAGCAAGCCACAGAAAAGCTATTACATTTAATTCACAAGTTCAACAAATATATCTTACTGTTCTCATTTATGACACTCTTCCTTTAAGCACTGCTATTCAATTGATTTTTTGTAGAAGTATTTACCCTTTTAATATCCCACTTTTACTCTAAAGATCTCAAGAAAACATACAGTATTCTCCTTATCATTACTATCCTCACGGTGACTCTGTGAAGGTGAAGCTTAGGAATAGCAACTGGAGAAAGATCACTCAGTGAGTCTAATGGTTCAAGGCAAACTGAAGGGTAGACTTCTCCAGTCCTTGCCCAGTTGGAGTCACTTTTGTCAACTATAAATGGTACATGCAATTGTTTTGGTCACTGCAGTCCACTTCAGAATATGTGGCATCAGAGGGTCAATTCTGGTTCAAGGAGAAGTAATGTTTATTTAATAGGAAATGTAAACACGCATTCTCCCTACTTTTCTAGTAGCGTGTCTACTCTGCTGGGAATACAGTAATCTAGGTAGAAAAGCAAAATAGAACCACAGAGTCAAAGGCACAGAGAACTCTCCCTCCCTCCATTATTTTGTTATGTGCCTCCAGGTCAATTCAAATTTATGGCAACCGTAAAAGGATTTTTGAAAGCTTTGTTTAGAGCAAGTTGAGGTTTGTCTTTGCATTCCACTGAAGTTGAGAGAATGTGGCTTGCCCAAGGTTACCCAGTGGATTTCTATGGATAATGTTTTGTTCAAATTTGGCCTCTATAGACATAATCCAATGCTCAAACCACTAAACCAGTCTCTCCCCCTCCTCCCGTAAAATGGAGGCCAAATTTCAATCCCTGTGTAGAAGATGGAGACCACCCTTTTTCTCAATAAGCAAATGTTTTTAGAGAGAGAAAGAGAATAATAAAGAGAAATATGGACAAATCCTGAAAAGAATAGTGAAACTAAAGTCCCTTTGACTTTAGTTTCACTATTCTTTTCAGGATTTGTCCATAGTACCAAGAAGTCCTTTCACTGTAGAGGTGAACTGACAAGATATTTAGACACAGCTTGAAATATTAGGTGTGAAAATAAATTTGGCAATGTTAAACATTTCCAATTAGATAAACTATTTCACAAGCATAAACAAATTGAATTCATTTGATGCGTTAAGTTATAATAACTCAAACATTTAAATGTGACTGTGCAATCATACCAAGTGATTTACAAAGAATGTCATAAAAGCAGTCCCTTCTGAATTTACAGGGACACATTTGGAAGCTAGCTCAAAAAGTCTCTTTTGGTTCTTTAAATCTCCTACCCTGCACATAGCCATCATCACAGAATTGTCACATGTTGCAGCAAACCCAACGACCTTCATTGGGGAGTGTGGGGAACTCACCACCCCATTCTCTGTTCCTGGGTCAGGTGATCTCATGGGGGGAAGCATTGATCGTACAGCTTCCCCCCCCCCCCAATTCCTTCCTATGGCAACACAGGAAGCCCACCCTACATTGCCCATGGAGCTCCGCGGACGTCATTTGATGGGAGTTGGTGGACTCCGTGGATGACCTAGGGCTTCATTGGCATATGCCACCGATTTAAGCTCTGTATGATAATGTCACTAGATCCCCCCCCCCCCCAATATGGGCTACAAATATGATTATAGGGCTGTTCCATAGGAATTGTGGGAGTCTTCTGTCTGTGAACATTTAGGTTGGGGAAAATCATTCCAAATTAGCATCTGTTCTTTCCATTTCCATGTATACTTCACTCATTCTTCAAATGCCTTGTTTTTCAAGGTCAGTAAGAAGCTAAAGGTCAGTGAGAGATGCAAATATTTTATTTGTGAAAGGCAGTGATCCATGAAAGTACAGCAATTAGTGGACAGTTACAAAGTTTGGTCAGTGAATCAAGTGTGTGTGTATATGCGTGTGTGTGATTCAGCACAGTAGATGTTGAACAGATTTGCCACCCAAGTGGTAGCACACATGTCTACCAAGTTTGAACAGATGCCTATAATCATATATCTCTCCTCTTCCAGCCCTCTTGTGATTATTGGAGATTTTATTTTATAACTCATTTTGTTTGAAAAGTTACCAAAAATATAACTGGCTGGCATTTTGCCTATATTTTATTTTCCACAATAAATTCTAAATCTATGTGCCTATTCTCTGTGCATTTCCTAGCAGATTACAATGAATGTAAAAGCTTTTCAGCCTCTTAACCGTCTGATAAATCACAATGTTCTCCTCTGTGGAAAGGATTTGGACAGGAAGAGCAGCTATCCTTGTAGAAGATATTACAATAAAGGGTTCATTTAAAAGAAAAATAAGAACACTATCTACTTATTTCAGAATCCTTTAATGTTGACCTGCATTTTAGCAGTCATGAGTTACTGCCTTCTGCAAATCCTATCATTCCATGTGCTTAGAATAATGAAAAATTGCTATTTCAAGCTCTCTTTCTTCCACTTACCTATATTGTAGTTTATGCTAATTACCACCATAAAATAAATTCTCATTTAAAGAACATTAGTCACACTCAGTTAAAAGGAAAGTAGCCCCCACCTCCCTGTGCTGCAAAAATGTCTGTGTTAATTTTTCATAGCCCTAGATTCCAAGGCCATAGATTGTGTTATGTAAAGTAATTATGCAGTCAAATCCTATTACTAAGTATTTTTTTTTAAAAAAAACACAACAATATTGTGATTGAGCATTCAGATTATGCATCATGTGATGAGTCAGTCCATATCTGAGTACCACAAAATTTGACTGTGCATTTGAATGATTAAATGAATGAACTAATGTAAAAGCAGTAGCACTGATTCTGAACAAATGAGAGTACAAGAAGGGAGAGTGTGGGGTCTAAAAACTAAAGGATCTGTGGCACCCAAGTAAGAATTAAATACTGAAAGAGAGGAGGACAGAAAGATGTAGAGTTGTTTCAGTACAAGCTTTTTACTCACCAATTGGCATGCTTCTCATTCATCTTTATGGAACATGCAACTGACATCATTATCAATCCAAAGCTTGCCTATACCTTCTATGTTATCTTTCCAATGTACTCTAGACCAAGTTTCTTTATTATATGTATTAAAATGTAGTTGCTGCACTGATATATTTAGCACCGAAAGGAATAGGAAATGCTATTAAGTGCCTTTTTCTTCAGATGACTATTTCAAAGGAGGAGCTGTGCCAGTCTGTTGCAGCAAAAACACAAAAGATTTTAAAGACACCTTTGCCTATTACACCATAAGATTAATGGCAACGAAGTTCAGGTGAATATATAGTACAAGCAGTCCCCGATTTACAAACATCTGACTTACAAATGACTCAGAGTTAAGAATTATTATTATTAACTTTATTTGTACCCCGCTAACATCTCCCGAAGGACTCAGTGTGGCTTACAAAGGCCAAGGCCCTCAATAAAACAACAACATAACAAATACAACAATAAAACTCAAAAAAGCAAAACCAATAAACATTAAAGCAATCAACAGTAAACATTAAACAATAACATCATGACACATTTAAAAACAGGGGGCCTGGCCAAATGCAATGAATAAAATTAGAAGTGCTGGACATTACAGGTGAAATATAAGGAATTTAGGGTAGGTGTGGTGTGCAGACAATCTTAAATCTCTAATAAAGTGCGCTTGTGACATGATGCTGGGAGTTTCCTATTCTGGAAAGGCACACTGGAACAGCCAGGTCTTCAAGCTCTTCCTAAAGACTGCTAACGTTGGGGCTTGTCTGATGTTCTTGGGGAGAGAGTTCCAGAGTCGGGGGGCTACCACAGAGAAGGCCCTGTCCCTCGTCCCCACCAAACGTGCTTGCAACGCAGGTGGGATCGTGAGCAGGGCCTCTCCAGATGAATGGAGGGATCGTGTGGGTTCATATACGGAGATGCGGTCACACAGGTAGGCAGGTCCCAAACCGCTTAGGGCTTTGTAGGTGAGCACCTGCACCTTGAATTGGGACCGGTAAATGAACGGCAGCCAATGGAGCTCCTTAAACAGGAGGGTTGACATCTCTCTGTAAGGAGCACCAGTTAACAACCTGGCCGCCGCCCGTTGGACCAGTTGGAATTTCCGAGCCGTTTTCAAGGGCAGCCCAACGTAGAACGCATTACAGTAGTCCAATCTAGAGGTGACCAAGGCATGGACCACCCCAGCCAGATCAGCCTTTACAAGGTACGGTCGCAGTTGGCGCATGAGTCTCAATTGTGCAAAAGCCCTCCAGGCCACCGCCGACGCCTGAGCCTCAAGTGTAAGTGATGAATCTAAGAGGACACCCAAACTGCGGACCTGTGACTTCAGGGGGAGTGTAACCCCGTCCAACACAGGTTGCCACCCTATACCCCGATCCGGTTTACGATCGACCAGGAGGACCTCTGTCTTGTCGGGATTGATCTTCAGCTTGTTCGTCCTCATCCAGACAGCCACAGCGGCCAGGCACTCGTCCAGCACTCGAGGGGCTTCCCTGGAGTTAGATGGAAAGGAATAGTAGAGTTGTGTGTCATCTGCATAGAAATGGCACCCAACTCCAAAACTCCGGATGACCTCTCCCAGCGGTTTCATGTAGATGTTAAAAAGCATGGGAGACAGAATAGAGCCTTGCAGGACCCCACAGGTCAAAGGCCAGGGGTCCGAGCAGGTGTCTACCAACTTCACCATCTG